ACCCCAACCCCAACCCCAACCCCAACCCCAACCCCAACCCCAACCCCAACCCCAACCCCAACCCCAACCCCAACCCCAACCCCCAATTAACCCCATCCCAAACCACATTTCAAACACTAAAAATTAAAAAAACACTATATTAACTAATATAAAATATATTATTTTTATTATAAATATAAAATTATATATAAAAATAAAATAAATTATATTTTTAATTAATTTATAATATTTTTAATAATATATAAAAAAAATAAGTTAAAAATTAATTAAATATAATGAACAATTTAATAATAAATTTGAATATATAGAAAAAAAATAACTAATAAATAAAAAAAATATTATAAAAACTTTATTATTAAAAAAAAAAAAAAATTATATAAATATATATTTTTAGATAATTTAAAATAAATTATATTATCTCAATCTCATATAAATATTATTTTTAAATAATCAAATCATTTAATTATGATTTTTAGATTATAAATAAAAATATGTATATATATAAATTTATATATATATATTTATAATATATATAAATATTTTATTATTTATAATATTATAATTATATTTAAATTTTATATTTTTATATATTAAAACATATAAAATAATATTTTTATTTATATATATATATAATTAATTATTTTTTATTAATTTTTTTTTTTTATATAATTAACAATAATATATATATTTATTATTTATATATTTCAATATATACTATTTTTTATAATTTTTTACTATTACTTTTATTTTATTTTTATGATATAATAAATTATTTTATTTAATAATATATTTTTTTTTTTTTTTATATATTTATAATTATTTATTTTTTTAGAGTCTTTTTATTTAAAAAAGTTTATTAAATACAATAAATAAATAAATAAATATAATTAATTTTTTTTATAATTTGATGTGTTTTGTTTTATATTCATATAACCTTTAAAAATTTCAAAATATTAAAAAATGATTTTTGATTATTTTTTTATATTTATTATTATCCTTTAAAAATAATACATTTTTAAAATAAAAAAATAACTTTTTTTTAAACAAAAATTAAATTATTTTATAAAGTGAATAAAAAAAATATGTAATCCAAATTAAAATCAACAGATATGCAATCATTTTTAACTAAAGGTCCATCATTTAATTACAATTCAAATCATGCTTCAAGTTTAAAAGGAAAAATTTAATAATTAGAAGAACTCGCCCATTAAGTAAATGAAGAACTTAAATCACATATAAAAGAACTATCAATTTTAAATAATGAAAAAGATCTTTTAAGTTAAGTTCTAAATATGAAAGGCTAAGATGTTGAAAAAACACTTATGAATGAATTAATAAGGCTTGAAGACGAAATTAATAGACACACATAACATCAAACATCAGAAAATTTAAGAATTTAATCATAAATAAATATTATAACTGCTGATAAAGTAATATTAGATGAAACATTAGGAAATTTAACTTAAAGAATTTCTGATTTAGAAAAACATATTGGAACAGGAGATTATTAAATTGAATGATAATAACAAAATTATTTAATAAAAATTTGTATCAAAATATATAATCATTTTTTTTTTTTCTATAATATTAAAAGAAAATTAATTAAATATATTTTTTAATAAAAAAAAAGTATATAACAATTTTTTTTATTTTTTTTTTCATTATTAAATCGCTTCTTTTAAAGCTTCATATAATTCAGAAGCTGTTTTATACTCACTATCATTTATTTCTAATAATTTACTTTTCGATTTTCCTCCTTTATCGAGTTATAAACTACTTTTTTTAATATTTAATAAGCTGCTAAATAATTAAATTAATTCTTCATTGGCTTCTCCATCTTTTGGAGGAGCTGCTATATTTACATCTACACAATCATCGGATATTGCTTGTTAATATTTTTTTAATTAAATATTTTTTTTTTTAATCTTTTTTACAAGAAACTTAGCTTATTTTGGAGTTTGGTTTTGCTTTAATTTATATGTATAATTTGCCCTTATTTTCGTATATGGAATATGGGATTTATTGTTTTTACTCTTCTTGTTGGTTTTACTAAATTTTTTATTTTTGGGGTTTCTTTTGCATTTTAGAGAAATTAGTTTTTGACTAAAGAAATTATGTTTTATAAAGTTTTTAATTAATATTTATTAATAATTTAAACATTTAACATTTTAATTATTTATTAAATTAATTATTAGTATTTTTTATTTTTTAATTTTTTTTTAAAAAAAATACTTTTTTAATATTTTTATCTTTTTTTAAAAAAAATGAATTTCTTATAAAAAACTATAAACTTTAATGATAACAATATCAATAATAAAATAATTTTATTATAAAAAAATAAGGAAAATGAATAAAAAATTGAACAAAGTAGCAACAAAAACCTTGAAATGTTTTAAAAAAATTAATAAATTTTTTATATTAAAATAAAAATATTTAATAGTAAAACTAACTTTTAAATACTAGATTAATTTAACTTTCTTAAATAAGATAATAGAAATGAAAATGAATAAGATTCATTTGTAAAATAAGCAATAAGTATTAATGGAAGTTCCCAAAAATAAAATTAATCAAGTCAACTAAATTTTAGTTCAAGTTCTAATATTTTAAAAGATATAAATTAAACAGAAAAAAATTTATCGGATAAAAGTTTAGATTTTGATTTATAAAGTTAGTTTTAAAGTAATTTGATAACTTATTAAAAATTATATTAAAAACATTTAGATGATGATGATTAAATTATTATTTAGAAAAAAATGGCTTAAGAACAACAAAGGTAATAGTAATTAGAAATAAACTAAAAAAAATAATAAATGTATTCATATTTTGATAATTTAGCTTAAAAAAGTGAAGAAAATAAAAAAATAAAATAAGAAAAAAACTAAAGGATATACGCTTTTTTAAAAAAATTCTTACAATTGTAATATATTTTGCTATTTTTATTAATTTTATTTGCTTTTTTAAATAAAAAATATCTAAAAAATTTGCCTGATCTATTTATGTTTATCTTGAAAGAAAAATTACCTTTATATTTTATGATTTCTTTTATTACTTTTTTAGTGTGTTTTATTTGTTTAAAAATTAAAGAATATATTAATAATATTAAATGAATTTTAAATAGAAATAAGAAAAAAAAAAATTATATTTTTTTAATTTACTTAATTATATCAAGATACTATATAATTAATTATGAACTTTAATTAAACCATAATAATTAATTATAATTTATATTATTTTATTTTGATAAAGTCATTTATATATTTCAATTTTATAAATAAATTTTTTATTAAGTTATAAACTAATTTTGATTAATATTATATATTTTACTTAATTAAAAAAAATTAATATATAAAATAAATTAAACTTATAAAAAGTCTCATTTACTTGCTTTTACTAAAAACGTATTACTTTTATTAGTTTTCATTCTTGCTGAAAAACATCTTTTTATAAATTTTTCTCCTTCATCAAGATATGTTTCTGTTTTAACAACTTTCTAAGAATTACATTAAATAAAATTTTAATTTTTCCTACAAAATAGATTCTTATCAATTTTTCTTACATTCTAAATATTTCTAATATTATTCTAAGATTTGATTTGTTTAATTATATTAATTTACTGAATATTAAGTTAACATAAATCATTCTTTTATGTTTCTTATCTTTAAATTATTTAAAAATATACTTTTTTTATTTATTTATTCCAGCAAATATCTTTTTTATGAATTTCTTATAAATAATCTTCTTTTTTCTATTTTTATTTAATAATCCTTTCTTAAATTGTATCTGTCTTATTTTCCGCTATTTTAAAAAACCCACTACTTGTATTTAAATCTTTTTATTATTGTTATAAATTATTAATTTTTAAAATAAGCTTTTATCTAATCGGAACTCTTTCATCTTCTAAATCTTTAAAAGAATATTAAGTTTTCCTAGAAAATACCGATTTTTTTACTGGAGGAGATATTTAATAACTTGTAATTGAATTAAAACTATTAAAATTAGTAGCACTATCGCTTTAATTGCCCGGTATATCAAAATCTTAAGATTTAATTTATGATTTTTAAGTATTTTTTCTAATATTTTTCTATACTAGATAATTAGAGAAATTATTTAAATTATTCTGTATTATTTATTACCTTTGTGTTTAAAAAACTTACTTATTTTGTACTCTTTCCAAAATATACTTTTTACTCATAGAATTTGTCATTATTTTTCCTAAAAATTAATCCCTTTTCAACATTAAAATTTCACATTTAATAGACTCACAGCGTACACTAAAAGTTCTTTTTTAATTATTTAGAATATCTACTTCCCCAAACATTTCGGGTGAGCTTAATATATACAATTTTTTTTCAATTTATTTTTAATTAAAAAAATGATTTATATATTATTAATTTTAATTTTATTTATTTTCATCTTCAGTATGTGTGAAATTTTTAAAAGCCTAAAAAAATTAAAATAATAAAATATCTAGTATTATTAAATATATATAAATTTTACACATATTTCTCCTTATTATATTATATAAACAGCATCAGAATCATCATTTTCATGAAAAATAATTTCATTTTTAAATTTATTTATTCGAAATGCATTTAAGTAAATATCTCTTAATAAATCAAAACCACATCCTTAAAAGAGTGGAAACGAACTAAAATAATTTATTTCTTTTATTAAACGATCCTCTTCTTGCCGTCTTAAAATATTTTTAAAATCTGCCTTTTAAAGTACACAAAAATGGCATTATGAAAAAGTTCGAATGGAAGCCAGTCTTGGAGTATTATATATTAGAGAAAATTCACCAAAACTATCCCCACTTTCTATTGTTTTTACAAATTTGAAAGCATTTTAACTCTAATTATATTCAGGTTCATATTTTATACTAACAAAAACTCCTACTAGCCCTTCTAAAATAAGATAAAATTTATTTCCAATTGAACCTTGAGAAAATACTTCTTATTCATTATCGAAAAATTCGTAGTTCATGCTTTTTAAACATTATAAAATTATATCATTAGATTGCTCTTAAAAATAAGTTTAAAAAAAAGGGATTGATTTGCATATTTCTAAAATTGGCTTTAAATTTTCGATTGTTCTATGATTTTTGGGCGATTTAAAAAAAAGAATTATTTACTGTAAATCATAAATATAAAATATATATTTTTTTGTTTCTTTTATAAATAAAAAACCTATAAATTTGGTAAAATAGTTTTCACACTTTTCTATCTTTCCATTATATGTGTATTATATATTTTTCTCTTTTATAAAATTTATTTTATTTTAGCTTTTAATATATATAATACATAAATAATAATATATTTAGAATTTAATTACTTAATTTTTCAAATTTTTTAAAATATAAATTTGTATTTTAGTATTTAAAATAATTTAATATTATAAAGTTTTATTTCAACAAAATAAAAATAAATATATATAAACAACTAAACCAATTTTAGCCTTATTTTATTTAGCAATTTTAATTTTCATAAATCTCGATAATACTGACTATACATTAAAAAATGTCCATAATTTATAAATTAAACTTTAAAAATCCCCTTTACTCCAAGCCATAGAATTTAATATATCTAAATTAATCAAAAAATGTTAGAACTTTTATTTAAAATAGTCTTTCTTTCAAAAGTAAAAAAACATAAATTATTTACGGAATATCAATTATTCACCTTTAATATTAACTCCAGAATTCTCAACACTTACATTATAAATAGATATAAATTTGAAATTAAATTAAACATAAACCGTCAAATATTCTAAAGCTATGGATGGAATAAATACTCTTAATATTATATTTTCAGTTATCGACCTACGAAATAATAAAGATTATATGTTGAAAAACCTTTCTACTCCGCCAAAAATTATTTAATTTGGAAATATTGAGATTTATTTTAGAAATTTATTATCTTTTTTTTATTCTTAAAAAGGGGTTCGTTGTAAAATTTCATTTAAATTATATCAAATTGGATAAAAAATGCATAAACATGAAAACATAAAACTGATTGTCTATAAAAAAATATATAAATAAAAATAAATAAGTAACTTTTAAAAATGAAAACATTATCTGAGAAATACTTCTTTTTGTATTATTTTTTCTGATATAATAAAAACAAGAAAATAAATATATTTATTCTCTATTATTAATTAAATATATATAAAAAAAGGCTTAAAAACATAAATATTTTTTAAATTATATAAAAGATAATAATTATTTACTATAAGTAACAAAATATGAAAAAATAAAAACTTAAATATATAAATATTATTTTATTTATAAAAAACAAAAAATAAATAGAAAATAAAAATTTAAATTAGAATTTTCTTTTTCATCAAATTAATTTTATTTGTTTAAATCAATTTTTGTTTATAAAAGTATAAATATATGAATTTTCAATTATCGATTCTATAGAGAGTACTGTTAGATATTTTTAAGTTTACAAAAGTTAATTAGAAATATAATTTTAAAATTAACTCCATCCAAACAGAAACATTACAAATAAAAATATAATTTAAAAATAAGTAATAATATCAATTATATTTTCCATAAAGTAATTAAATTCTTAAGACATAATTTAAATAAAGTTTTCTATATTCTCTGTAACATTAATAATAATTACATTCAATTAATCAAATTAATATATATCTACTTATTTTTCCCAATCCATAGCCATATATTTAAACTAAATCTTATCACTAATATTAAACTATTCCAATAACTAACTCCATCTCATTATAATATATTTTAAACTAATTTAATAACCTTATTTTAATAACCCATTCTACACTGAAATACATGCTTCCTAAGTAATCTATTAGTTCTAATTATCTATGAATCTACTACCGTAGTTTTTAAAAGCCTCACATAAATCATTTTCTATAACTTTAAACAAAAATAAATCATGAATGCTTTAATTATACAACTGAGTACTTTTTAATTCAGAAATAATTTCATATAATCGATTTAAAACTGAATTATTAGCCTACATAAGCTATATAGCCCGTTTATAATAATAAGAAGGATTATATGTAAGATTTTTACTAGTCATAGCGTATATATATTGATAATTGGATGACATATTTGTTACCAAATGCAATTTCAAATCTTATAAAAATATTAGAAAATTATTATCTATTTAACAGGCTGCTGAATAAATGTTTACAAGGACATAATTTACTATAGGCTGTACAGTAATAATTAAAAAAACTAGACAAACTATTACAAATACTGAAATGTTAAATTTTTTCATATTATTACTGTTAGAAATTAATTTTCTTTTTCTTTAATTTATTTTATTTATATTTAAATTCAAAAGCATTTGTTGAATATTTGAAAACTAAACTGTACAAAAAAGCTTCAATATTTTCTCCTTTTTAAGCTATAGCTAATAATATATATAAATTAATATACTACACAAAGAAAAATTGCATAATAAAACGACAAGTAGCATAATTTATGAAGTTTTTTTATAAAAACCAATTGTTTATTGACTAAATCATTTATTTAACTCTTTAATTCATTAATAATAGCATTTATATTATTATTATTTTCCTAAGTAATGATTTATCCGTCAAAAAAACTAAATAAATTACTTAAAATTAAATTATAAGAACTATATATAGATTAAATTGCTTAAATAAAATTCGTTTCTACAGAAATCATATTATCCTTAACAAATGATAAAACCTAATTTTTTTATATAAAACTATAATCTTTAACAGAAACCAATACCATTCTCTCTTTATTTAAAGTATTAAAATATTATGCTATATTGTAATCTGCATACTAGAATTATTTTATCAAATCAAAATTATCTTTATTAATATATTATAGAGTTTCATTAATATTGGCTATATATGATTAAGGAATAGAGGTAAATATACCTTCTAAAACAAGGTATTTTAAAGCCAAATAGTAATTCATTTTAGATATATTTCCCCTCAATGTTAAAGGCCAATAAATATATTAAAAATGAGTTTAATTCTATTTGAATTATTACTTTACGCTTAATAATTACAAAAGAGTGATTCCTAAAACAATAAAGATAGCAACAAAGCCAAATAAATTTACCGCTTTAAAAAAAATTTCCAATTTTACATTATTTAATTTGTAAATTACGAAATTTCTTTAGGTTTGTTATTACTTTTTAATTGTACTATTGCTACTTTATATTGAGTTCTTAATTTTCATTTTTGTTACTAAATCTTTTTCGTGTTTTTATTCCAAAAAAGACTTTGAACTTATATCCTTTTTGGCAAAACTTTGAAAACTACATATGTTGAGTATGCTACTTTTATTTATTTTGCTATTTTTTAAAGTATTTTATTTAGGAATACTACTTAATTTATATTTTTCAGAAAGTTTTTAAAATCGTTATTAAAGTTTTTTAATATTATCTATATTATTAGAACTTGATTAATGATTTAAAATATTATTTTTTATTTGTATTTATTCTTTCATTTTGTACAGTTTTTATCGTAAAAATTATAAAAATATAATATTTTCGATATTCTATTAATCATTTTCTTAAATTTGTTATTATATTTATGATACTGCTTAGTTTATTTCGTAAAACTATTATTAGATTTTATTATCCTTTTAATAAATAATTTAAATTTAATTTAAGCTTAAAAATTCTGATTATTAATTATTTTAAATATCTAAATATTTTAAAAATTAATTTTTTAAATAATATATATATATATATATATAAATATTATATTTATATATTTTTATTTAAATTTATATATATATATATATATTTATATATTTTCTACTTATATTCTAATATTTGATTTACTTTAATAGTTTTAATAACTAAATATTATTTTATAAATCAAAATTTACATTTAAAAAATTCTTTAATTAAAATTATACCAATTATAAAGCTTTTATTGTATTTCTAAAACTATCTATTTTTTAAAATTTCAACATTTATATAACGTTAAATTACACATATTTATTTTTTATCTATAAAAACTTTATACTGACTTCAAAAATATCATAATATTCTACACTTAATTATTCAACAAATTCATTAATTTAATTGTTTTTTAATTTTTAAAATAGATAATCTTTTTTATTTTCAACTTTTGGTAAAAATCCAACTGTTGTAAAACAATCTTTATTTATATTTTCTTACAGATTTTTTTCATAATTATCAAATATATTAAGTAAAGGTATTATTCTATTCAAATAAATTTTATATAAATAATCCACTTCAATATATTATTTAAGAAAATTATCAAAAATACTCTTATTTAAAGCTTATATTTTAAAATTATTATTTTCCATCAAAATGAATCCTCCTTCTGACATATAAAGTTACTCCTATTAAATTTAAGCTACCAATCCAAATTCATCAAGGCAAATTAAACACGGTTTGAATTATATATTAATGGGAACTCCCCATCCTTATTTATCAATAGCTAAAGTTAAAGGAATAAAATCGTTATTATTCTAAATTTATTAATTATTTTTTTATATATAATTATTTATTATATTATCGTGTTATAAAGAGATTATATTAGGCATTAGACAGTTAATATTT